GCACTGCTGAAAGCCCCCCCCCCCCCCCGTCTAAAATAGATGTCCCAAGTACTTTAGTGCTCGACGGAAGCCGTGTGCCGCGTGTTAGCCCGCGCCAGGGGATTTTCAGTGCCCTTGTTGTTGTCAGCGGCCGTGCGGCGTGTGGTATCGTCTGCCCACGCCCCGCCCGGAGGCTTGCGGCGAAAATGAAGACGGCGACTGCAAGGTAGGTTGTTTGCGGCCCTGCAGCGACAACAGCATTTGAAACCATCGGAGAAGTCGCGGTCAACTGGTGGTGGTGGTGGTGACCGGCGGGGGCCACACGCACCCACACCTGAATGTTGTGCTCCGGGATTTTCTTCGTTACGCAACACTTGGCTATCGGCATCGCAAATGGGTTAACGAGCTATGAAGTGAGCGGCTAAAGGTGAGTGCAGCCGCTCTGCCCGTTGAATGGCTGTGTCCCTGGTGGCTGCTGCGTGTGTGGCAGTGCCGAGTCCTTGATCAAAACAATCAAAATGCTAATCTTGAGCTGTGGTTTTATTGCCTGTAACGCTAAACGTTATTGTCATTTTACACCCATGTCTGTTGTTTGTCCTCTTTTATTGGAATATTACATGATGAAACGATTGCAAAAAAGAAATGTAAGAAAGGAGAAGTTAAAATCCGGATGTTATTGGTCACATGATAGGTCTGGGAAGGTAAGCACACACACACTAAGCTAATTTGTTATTGAGATAAGCAGTTTTGCTGCTCACAGAAGCGACAAGAGACAACCTGCAACTTAAGCTGAATTTTTTGCAAGCCCAAGTGGTGGTTGGTGGTGTTGGTTTTAATCGCGGCTGTGCACTTCACATTAAGTGCGTGAAATGGAGAGTGGTGTACAGAAGATTTAGGAGGGACACTAAAATGGTGGAGGATAGGTGCTGGCAATAATTAATAGCGTGTGATCGATTTGTGTTTGGTTTCAATCGCCCCTATGCTGGACGTAATTTTTGATAGGCAAGGAGCTTGCCCGTGGGCAGCATCGATCGCGATGCTGCCTTTTATCGAGTTGGGTGTTTTATGGATGATGGGCGCATCCGCTGCACATTTCACTGAGCGCTGTGATAAACGTGATAAACACTGCACTCTGGTTATGGGTGGAGCAAACCTAAGGGTTGATCATCGGTGTCTGCAAGTGTGAGAATTTTGGCCCAAACATGAAAGAATTTAGAGAGAAAAAATCACCACGCCCATTAGTCTATATTCCTAGACAATGTTATATGCGAACAGTGCCTGAGCTGCGTGCCGACAGTGTTTGTTATTGTGTTCAGTTAAAAGACCGAAAATCTTTTTTCCATACTTGATGCGGAACCACCACATCCTGCCACATACAGCCACCGGCATTGTGGTTTTATTGTACGCATTTTAAACTCCACACCATCTGCTGTTGTGGAGGAAACCCGTATTTTTAGCATAATGAAGGGGCAGGCAGGGGACCATGGGAGGGTGTGAAGGAGCGGTGGGAAAAGGCGGTAGGGCTCCATCGAGTGTAGAATTACAGCTTGTTTGGCTTCCTGGTTCATTGGGACAGGACCAAACTGCCCACTAGGTTGCGGAGTGTGCCAGCTGCACGACTTATTACTTAACCTCCCATTCCCAGTTACAAAAGCGTAGTTAACTTTAAATCAAGCATTCGGGCAGCATAAAGGCCGTCTCAAAGGCTTTGCTTAAAAAAGGACGCCACCAAAATCGAATGTTATAAGTGTGTTTAGCAGCTCTTAGGAAATCTATAAAGCTGCCTACGCATATTGATGCTTTTTAATTACAGCCTCGGAGCTGACCTTTTGTTGAGCCGGCTCATTACGTGTGGCTCGTGCACCGCCGCTCTGCATGCCAGCCACAGACTAATTGTTCCCCCGCCAGACGACGAGGAGGAGCTCTGAAGTGTACGTTGAGCAGCGGGGCGGCCCGTGCGCTCTCGGCCCTGCCCGTGGGCCCGTCGCCTCCGGCCCACAACTCCCCGTAATTGGACCGCCGCTCTGCTCGGTGGCCACCACCACGTTTTATTGCCCCGGCCATTTTGTTAATTACGTAAGCGAGGCTTAATCTCGCGGTGCTCCGACACGCGGGGTATTAGCTTATGTTTTACGCATATTAGGACGGCGAGGGGAAAATGCGCATCGCTTAATAGAATGGCCTACGTCGCGTTCCCCACTTCACGGTTTGTGCGTTTTTATCGGCACCGTAAATATTTCGTGGATACTCTTTCACTGCAACCCCGCCAGCCCACAAGAGTGGGATGAACACAAAAGCTGCCTTCCTCCCCAGCTCGCCCGTCCACCCCTCGTTTTGGGCCCTGGGTGGCGTTTCTCGGCGCATGTCTAATAGTGGAGTTGTGGGGGCCCCCTGGGAGAAGCCACGTCGTGCCTGGCGCTGCTCCTGGTGGAGCTGCTGGACCCTGTGGGGGGGGGGGAGGTGGCGGGGGGGGCCTTTGAGAAAGGCGTTGGCTCTGGCCATCGCTCCCTCCCCGGGCGGAGAGTGTCGCGTGAATAATTGCCTGTTGCCTGCAAATCTGCAGCCTTCAGGGTTTTTTTTATAAACAAAAAAAGGAAGGCTAAAAATATGCTTCCATTATTAAAATTGGGCAAAACTAGAAAATGAGTGGCTGTCGTATGCAGCATTGCTTATAATTTTCTCACGAAGTAATGGCAAATGGAGTTGATGTGGAAAATTATTCTCACAAAAGCAGACAGGTTTTGACCTACTCTAAACAAAAATTATGCACCACAGTATATCAGTTTTATGGAAAACCGCGCAGTAAATGATTCGGTGACTTATATCGGGATAATAAATGTGGGCTCGTCCAATTATTTTGTTTGAGAGGAGGGCATGTCATTCAGGACCAAGAGGGGTCACGGGGTAGGGTGGCTGTGACAACACTGTACAGGGCTATATTTACTTCACTTGGGGCGTGTTGTCATGGTCATGAGCCCTGCATACTAAATGAAGTCATATCCTTTTTTTTACCAAAAATAATGTCATTCTTCCAGATGCCTTGCATGGGCTTTAATGGAGTCTCGTTGCACAAATATTTCATTCACGTGACTGCCTGTTTTGGCAAAGCAGTGAAATCCATCTTGACCGAGCTACACTCAACAAAATAAGTAAAAACAGCTTCTCTTACAGCAACGAGGTATGTCCAGCAAATGGGCTGCTGTGCATCAAAAACACGTTGCTGATGCACACATAAATGCAGAGATTATATGCATAAAATAATACACATTTTGTTCTGAATTCTTAAGCCCACAGAGTCGAGGAGGCGTGCTGCACAGTTTCCAAGGTGTTTTTTGGAAATAAATGCCTCCTAAAATTTGTCAGATTTTTTCTTGCGTAATTCACCGTCTGGCTCACCTTGCGTGTAATAAATACATTGGGAGCCTACATTGGGAGCCGACCCAATTTTGCTGATGTAGGGAGCACTTACTGTAATCAGACCACCGGATGATCGTTCCACTGTAGGTGGATCATGCACGTCTCTCTGGCAGAAATCTCATCTCTTTTATCTTTTTTCATGATTAGCTCCAATACATAAATTTTCAATGGCAGGGAGAGACTTGGGTTTGCTACGTTTTTCTTGTGCCCCCCGGACCAACACACAACATAGGCACATTTTATGAGGGAGGTTATGACGGGCGTCTTCGTGATGTAAATGCTAACTCCACATTAGTGCAGTGTCGTAATGCAAGATCTTGTTTGTGCAGTGAAGCACTGAAAACCTGCTGCTGTGCATGTGGTACAGTGAGGGAAACAAGTATTTGATCCCCTCTTGATTTTGTACGTTTGCCCACTGACAAAGAAATGATCAGTCTATAATTTGAATGGTAGGTTTATTTGAGCAGTGAGAGACAGAATAACAACAACAAAATCCTGAAAAACGCATGTCAAAAATGTTATAAATTGATTTGCATTAAGGTCTGGAGACTGGCTAGTCTACTCCAGGACCTTAATGTGCTTTTTCTTGAGCCACTCCTTTGTTGCCTTGGCCGTGTGTTTTGGGTCATTGTCATGCTGGAATACCCATCCACGACCCATTTTCACTGCCCTGGCTGAGGGAAGGGGGTTCTCACCCATGATTTGAAGGTACATGGCCCCGTCCATTGTTCCTTTGATGCGGTGAAGTTGTCCTGTCCCCTTAGCAGAAACACACCCCCAAAGCATAATATTTCCACCTCCATGTTTGACGGTGGGGATGGTGTTCTTGGGGTCATAGGCAGCATTCCTCCTCCAAACACGGCGAGTTGAGTTGATGCCAAAGAGCTCCATTTTGGTCTCATCTGACCACAACACTTCCACCCAGTTGTCCTCTGAATCATTCAGATGTTCATTGGCAAACTTCAGACGGGCATGTATATGTGCTTTCTTGAGCAACGGGGACCTTGCGGGCGTTGCAGGATTTCAGTCCTTCATGGCGTAGTTTGTTACCATTTGTTTTCTTGGTGACTAATGGTCCCAGCTGCCTTGAGATCATTGACAAGATCCTCCCGTGTCGTTCTGGGCTGATTCCTCACCGTTCTCATGATCATTGCAACTCCACGAGGTGAGATCTTGCATGAAGCCCCATGCCGAGGGAGATTGACTCTTTTGTGTTTCTTCCATTTGCGAATAATCGCACCAACTGTTGTCACCTTCTCACCAAGCTGCTTGGCAATGGTCTTGTAGCCCATTCCAGCCTTGTGTAGGTCTACAATCTTGTCCCTGACATCCTTGGAGAGCTCTTTGGTCTTGGCCATGGTGGAGAGTTTGGAATCTGATTGATTGATTGCTTCTGTGGACAGGTGTCTTTTATACAGGTAACAAGCTGAGATTAGGAGCACTCCCTTTAAGAGTGTGCTGCTAATCTCAGCTCGTTACCTGTATAAAAGACACCTGGGAGCCAGAAATCTTTCTGATTGAGAGGGGGTCAAATACTTATTTCTCTAATTAAAATGCAAATCAATTTATAACATTTTTGACATGCGTTTTTCTGGATTTTCTTGTTGTTATTCTGTCTCTCACTGTTCAAATAAAAATGATAGACTGATCATTTCTTTGTCAGTGGGCAAACGTACAGAATCAGCAGGGGATCAAATAATACTGTTTTCCCTCACTGTACGTGATCCACATACAGCATTCTCAATCTCTCCATTTATCGTCGCAAGAGACATTTTTCACAGGCCAATATAATTGCCACTTTGACAGGTTTTAAAATGTGCCTATTCTTTTTTGTATTTGCAGTGATGGCACATAATTGGCATGAAAGGATTGTGAAGGTGTACTAAATCTCATGCAGGGTGTACCGATACCGACATCAGCATTCAGGTCGGCAGCCGAGCTCTGAGTCACCACCGTGCTCGTCACCTCGTTAGAGTGCATCGGAGCATCTGCATTACAGGTGGTTCACCTCTTGCCTTGTGTTTGCACACGTGATCAAGTGAGGAGTAGATTGCTGGATCTGAAGGAGACAAGTTTCCCCACCCTTCCTCAAAATGGACTGTAGAAAGGATACATGATTGAGAAGGCAAGTAAGTTGTTTTAATCGGTCTAAATCAGAATCTTTATTTAGACTGGAGGAATGCAATGAGCGATGGAGCTCTCTTTTTACAGTTGTCCAGTAGGGACGGGTTGTCAATATGCCATGGATCAGCAATATGGACATTGACAAAGAAAATGAAAATGTTGAAAAGCATACAAAAGAGCTTGGAGAGAGGTGCATGTTTGTAAATCCCACTGAGAGAAACAACAAAAAATGCTGGGATTAGAGAGCACATGCAAGTTCAAGATATCATTTTGACTACAAGGTGGGGTTCGACAGGACACATCGCGAGAATAGATGATGATCGATGGGCGAACCTAAAAATGGAATGGCATTCAAACGTAGGAACATCTCTGAGAGCACGTTCGCTGTGGAGATGGAGCTATTCAATCGGCTCGTGTGCAGGTTTCTAGATGGATTTGTTTCCATCGCAAGGCCATGAGAGATGGTGGTGGCTTGGGGAGCCCTTCATCTGGCAGTGAGTTTATCGTGACTGATCATGATTGTGATATGGAGCGTTTTATTAGCAAAGCTACAGAATTTTTAAAGGCATGATAAATCTTGGCATTTTTAATGGTGATAATCCCAGAATCTACAACATGTTGATTTACATTTGGACAAGGTGTACATAATAAAAATAATATGGCACTTGTTATTTTATTTGTAGTTTTTTATTTATAATTTAAACGAAGTTTTTCGTATCTGCCGGGTAACTTCTCAATTTAATTTAGCCATCAGTAAGTATATCCACTTTGCGCTATGTCATTTCACATGAGGCGTGCGAGGTGTGAGGCCCGGTGTGATATATCGCGTAAAATCCGATCCCCGTGCCTCTCTCAATTACCGCCAGCCATGGTGGGCCTACAGAGTCCGAGGTGACGTGGCTCCCCGCCTGGGCCATAGCAGGTCTCCCGGAGTTCGAGCAACGCATGGGGATCACGGCGGACACAAATTCCTGAGACGGGCAGAATAGCTGGGGCTTGGCCCGGTTGCCCCGACCTCCCCTGGGATTACGGGTATAACCCAGTAAGGCTGAGGCAGCTGCCAGGGCATCCGAGCCCCAGTTGGCGTTTGTTTTACGCTACAACAGGGATTCGGGAAGGGGAAGGAAATGTATCGGTCGGCCATCAGCTGAGTGGGCCGTATGAAAGGTAGCGATATGGGGATTGTGTTTGAGAGTGTGGTTGCTATATTTAATTTGAGCGGGTGCTCGTGTTTCGCCTTCGCTGCCAAGGGGGGCGTGACATAGGTGCAGGCATTGGATAAAAGCGTTTGCGTCGCAACCTAGTGGTGGGACGGGCGCATCGGCAGCCAGACGGGCAAGCAGGGAATAAACTGTGCTCAATTGTGAGCCTGTCTGCCACAGCTAACTGGTTTTCCTGACGTCAAAGACCTCTGGCAAAAACAGCAGAAGAGAAAAAAAAACCCCAGTGGGTTAAACAACGTATTTTATCAGGCACTGAAGTTTGTGTAAATTGAGGACGGGGTCAAGTTGTTCCCTCTCATCAGAGGCTGACACCACTTTACAAGATGAGAATCGACATTGACATCTTTGTGCAGGTCCTTCCGTATTGTTTTAAAAAGGTAAGCTCCCCTGCTGTGTATTTACATTTTCGAATGAACACAACAGTGCGGTGTTGTTAAGTCATTACCTTGGTGTGATTTGTTATTTCACTTGGTTGAAACTGTGTTTTCCCCCCCCCCGCTCCAAAATATTTTCTGAATTGGTAGAAAATATTGTTGTAGCCTGCACTACAATCAAACGAACTGCAGATGTCATGTTTCCACTTTGGTGAAAATATTCAGCACAGTCTTCTTTAATGTATCTTTAAGTTGCCTTGCCTGTGATGTTTGTGGGGGGGATAAACTGTAAAGAATGTATCTAGAAATAACAGTAAAGAATGTATCTACAAATATTTTAATTTAGATTTGTAAGATTGTGATTATTTTCATTTATGTCGAATGTGGAGCAATGTCAAAGCATGGAAGGGACGACTAAACAAATAATTCGTACCCCCCCCCCCCCCCCCGCTTTTCATCTTGCCCCGGGGTTTTTTGTGAGATCTTTAGGGACTGTTTGCCCAGCAACATTTAGCTGTGTCGTGAGCACTGGAGCATGAGTGGACAGAGCCACCATGGCATTTTTTTTTTCCCTCCGCCAAGCTTATATTAGTAACAGCATCTGTTTTTGTTCGATGAACCGCAATCTAATTTCCAGACTGTGGCGCCCCCCCCAGTGCTTAATGGCATTCAGATCAGTGACCATCTTTGGGATCGTTTGATTCTAAACGCACGCGGAATTTATTCCTGCGGTGTTGCCTTTTAGAGCCATTGGCGGCTGAGCTTTGAGAAGGACAGCTTTCAGCGTGCGCGCCTTTCCAATATTCGCCAATTTATCTGCTCTTACGTGTATATGTGTGGGTCATTTGTGCAGGAACAGTGTAGATTAAAATCATGTTGAGTCGTAACTAGGCCGGCTCTTTGAAGCCAGACAAAAGCCATTTTTTGAATCTGTTTCCGCGAGCCATTTACAATGCACTTTCTTTTGGCTGATGGTTCGCACATATTTCTTTTAGGTTGTTGTTGTGAACTGATTTCATAGTAGCGCAGCAACAAAAAAACTTCACTCGTGCACTTGAATTTTTTTTTTACACAATGCAACCACAAACGCTCGCACACCGCGCTCATTACAGTGTGCACATGTGGTACATAGACAAATCCTGATTTAGTCAGATGGACGTGAGGGCTTCTATTTTGAGCGTTGTGTTCATCACCAGGTCCCAAGGTTTAGTGGATGCGTTTGCACAGCAGTCCCCCCATACCCTTTACACGTGCTGCTGCCGTTTGTGAGCGCAACGCCAAATACGAAACGTGAAGGGATTTCTCGATGACCTTTACAAAATGTGTTTGCTTCAAAGTTTTTTAACTTAACCGAGGTGAACATTTCACGTGGAGATGTACGTGTGCAGTTGAATGTGTTACGCCACAATTAAAAGCAGAATAATAATAACAGCAAATTAGCGCGAAGTGCTTCGTGTTCATATCTAAAGATTCACATGTATTCGCTTGATGCATTGTCATTTTTAAATGTCAAAGCTAATGCCATGGACTCTCGAATACACTTAATCTGCAAATACAGCCATTTCCATTTTTACGCAGAGTGCATATGGTGCTTACGAACGTGATGTGCGCATGTGGCTTTCACACAGTGGCCTCCCTGGGCCATTGCTATGGGTGGAATTATGAAGGACAACCCATGGTCATTGCGTGCTCATTTGTTTTCCATTCACATTGTCAAACTATCAAAATTTTGTATAACTTTTGAAATTATGTCTTTGCCTAATACACACTTGTAAGCGCCAGCTGTTGTTACTTATTGTCATTATTGTAATTCGACTTTTGAAAATGCAATCATTTTCTCACTGGTGGAAATTATGCACAGTTGTTTTAATGAGCAAAGTCTGTGTAAACAAATGCATGTTTATTTATTATTTTAGTTCAGAGAATTGAAGTAGCCCACAGATTACTAATACAATCTGGCGTATCATTTTCGGTATTTTAAATTTGTATTTTGAAACAAATACATCACGAATACATGTTGAGAAATGTAACTTATTTTGCAGTCGTCAACAATAACAATATTGTACGTATATTTTGTCAATCCACTGCTGGATGAAAGCCTTCCCATGCTGGGTCGGTTATGGGGGTTGTTTTTATCACGACTTCGCCATGCTGGTACAGTGCAGCTTGTGAAAAAGGGGTTGGGATGTGGGGTGCCAGGACCGGTTCACATTTCACTCACCACTGATGATAAACCATTTCTGGGAATCAAACTCAGATCTCCGTGTGCATCATTTAACATGGAAATGCATTTAGTTCCTTTTTCAGAAATGGAATCGTTAATGAAAACAATTGTGACAATTCTCTAGGATCACCGTGTACGCTCTTGAAATATAGATATGTTCCAGGGACAAGTTTGAAGATCACTGGAGCAGGGTCAATATGCTCCACGGCAGAGGCACTGTGATTTCACAGCTTAATTGAGTTGTGAGGTTTTAGCCATTTGTGGAGTAATCATCTGCCACTCTTGCTTGGGGCACATGAAAGTCGAGCATTCGTTAATGTGTTTATAATTGTATGCACACATTTCAATTACAATCAACGCTCAAATGTGCGGGATAACTGGGAGGGGTTGCCCGGATAATGCAAATGTATGTAAATTAGGCGAAAACATTTATTGTTAACCTAGACCGAATATGATTCAGATATCTAATGTGTAGTTCATCTGTTGCTTCTCATAGAAATTGGGCAGCAGGGCCTGCGCAGAGGTGACACTTTTGCCCCGCAGCATCCCTAGGTTCGATTCCGGACTCAGGTGCCATTGTGTGGCGTTTGTATGCTCCCCCGCTGTTCTGCATGGAGTTTATAGGGTCCTCAGGTTTCCTCTCGTAGCTATCAGAAACTTCATGTTATTGATATTGGCCAAACATCCCGATGCTTAAAATAATAATTACAAACGTACTAATTTTGAAATTGCACACCGCATCATAGCCCTATACTGCGTAAACTTACCAGGACCCTCCTGAAAAAGAGTTGAGATTCTGTGAGGCTTTTCTGGCTAAACAAGCATAAAAATAAAATCAGTTTGCTCGCCAAGAAACCCATTTGCAGTCACCTGTGCCTGAGTCGCTTACCATCGACAAGTGAGGAGCAGCTGATAATTAAACCAGCACATGCCCTTGGAAAATGTGGGTGAGCACCGTCACTCCGCAACCTGAACATTTGAGAGTGAACTGCATGACATTATTTGGTGATACTGCGTTGGCATTGGTGCAAAAAGCACAAATTTCCAAAAAGCTCGACATGCTCGCAAATAACACTGCCTTAAAAGGAAACGTGTAACATAGGTGACGTTTCAGGACAATGCTCCTTTCTTCATAGCATATTTATTATATATTTTACATTTTAAGGAATTACATTTTGAGCTCGCCTGTGGTATGGACTAAAAGTCCACGCAGCTCGGAGGCGCGCATGGGTGTGGGCTGTCCCTCCAGAGAGCAGTCACGAGTGTGCGTGCGCTCTTCACGGCCCCTGTTTTACTGGTAGGAACGAAGTTGTAAACTGAGTGTACCAGCCTGCAATAGATGAATGTGTCCGTCTGTCCGTCCCCTTTCAATACTTTACCGAAGTGAAATCTCGTGCTGTTGGGTGTAAAATCAGCAATAGACAGTGCAGAGACTTGTCCTACCAGCCCACCCTGCAAGGACCTGTTATGTTTCGCCAACATTGTTGGGCAGCTAAGTTTTAGCTTTCATATGCTCCCCCATTGGAAGTGTGAGTGTCTGGCTCGCGGAGTAACCCACAGGATCAGCGTTGTTGCGCCTCATTCCTTGAGACGGGAATGCGGCAGAGGGGAACTTTGTAAAATCGTGGATTGCAAAGGAGAGTGGTGGCGGTGCAATGGTAAGCGTGCACCGCACTATGAATCCAGTGAACCAAGTTCCATTTTTTTTAATTGATCCTAGACGGTCCTGCCTCCTTCACCAGCCCACACTGATAAGCATGGTGAAGTATCGTAAAACAACTCCAATGACTGAAACGGTGGAAGAAGCCTTCATCCAACAGTAGATTGACGAAGGGGCTTAATATTCTTGAATTATAAAGAACATTTAAAGGCACTTATAGTAAGCCTGTATTTGCATTTTTCTGCCAGGCACATAAATTTGAAAATTTCTTACCGCTGAAGTAACAATTAAAATAATTGACTGATTTAATTTGGGGGTTTTCGTAGGACGTGCAATAAAAGCAGCACAGAATTGTATTAGTGTCATTCCATACAGTCCACCCAGCAGGAAATGGGTGCTAATTTATTGATAAATACTTTATTAAATGCTATATGAAGCAAAGCAGGGTTTTGTTGTGTAATGAACTTTATAGCTAACGAATGCCTCCGGCTTTGCAGACCTCATTTATTTTTTCCTGCTTTAGCCATTGTGACATAATTACGGTTATTCACTTAAGAAACACCAAGCCGCGAGTCGTGAATGTGGTAATTAAGCCAGGGCGTCTGGGAAATGAAATGACAAACCCCTCCGTGTCTTCCCAGCCAATCCTGCCGTGTGTAACTTCACTGTGATCGCGTGATCAATGTCGCACCATCACATTGGCTGGGAGGACACCCGGGGTTTTATAGTTTGTTTTTAATTATCCTGTGTCCTTGACTGTAATTAACACAATCAGTTAAATTGCTGCAGTATCCCCAATTTAAAGTGCTTTAATCGTTTGTGTACATCCAAACTATTGCAATGTAATGCAACCACTCGAGTCTGAATCTCACACTTAACCATTTTCATTTAGGTTTTCCCTCCAGTAGATTCTAACTTTTTAAAATAAAAACATAATTGGTAAAGCCGTGGCAGTATATTGCTTCGCCTATTCAATATGCAGATATGCCTGACTAGTCTGGTTTGGACACTGGCACATTTCGAATTGGCCAAATATGACGAGTCAAATGTATTTTTTACTGCAGAGTCCGCCGCCAGCTGTCTTCCTTTTAACCTCACTGTGGTGCTTTATTTTTTTCAGCTCTGTTTTTCCTTTTATATTTTCACGAATTCCACTTGGGTGTCCAGAAGGGTGACTGCATCATCCCGACGAGCTATTCTTCCTATTGCCCTCCAAATCCCACTTTTTAAAATTTTGGCTGGTTCATTTTTTTTGTTTTGTGGGAAGAAAAATGCATTCCATGAGCACGTCAACATGATCATCCAGCAGATGGCAGCACTTGCCGGGATTCTGAACTCGCTCACCCCAAAGAGCAACGTCCGCCCCCCCCCCCCAAGGAAAAACATGCCGTGATCCCAAAGGAATAACGTGCCGTGATCCCGTGAAAGCGGGATGCCTCGCAGACCCTTGTGACGTTAAATAAGAGAGCATCAGTCTGATATATATTTTTTAGGTCTTTAGAGACGGAAGTGGGCAGTGATGCAGCAAAAAGCTCTTGTCGAGTGCCGTTTTTGTTCGATGAACCGCAATCTAATTTCCAGACTGTGCCCCCCCCCCCCCCCCAGTGCTTAATGGCATTCAGATCGTTTGATTCTAAACGCACGCGGAATTTATTCTCGCGGTGTTGCCTTTTAGAGCCATTGGCGGCTGAGCTTTGAGAAGGACAGCTTTCGGCGTGCGCGCCTTTCCAATATTCGCCCATTTATCTGCTCTTACGTGTATATGTGTGGGTCATTTGTGCAGGAACAGTGTAGATTAAAATCATGTTGAGTCGTGACTAAGCCTTTCCCATCAGTGTGAACAGAAATCGTTTGCGTTCCTCATGCATCATTGCAGAGCGCACTCATTTCGCTTGGCCCGGAGATTGCTCAATGCGGATGTGGAGGTTTGTTCAGCTGTCCCTCTATATATTTGGTTGCCATATCCAGCAGTTACTCGTAGTTACTGTCCAATTACATTGATGGTGTCTGACCAAAACGCTCGGAAATGGTACTTGATGTCATCAGTTCTCGGAAGTTGAGAAGCTTTATCCAGGATAATGTTCGGGTAGGCGACCGCATGCATACATGGCACACTGTATAGGCCAGAGGCTGCATGCAGGGTTGCATGGTGGACGGTAGAAGGCAGTATAGCAAAAGCCAATTGTTGTACAGCACTTATTTGATTTGACATCTAAGCTCACTGCCTGCACAAACCCCGCATTTTAGTGAAGTATGGACAGATAACCTCCACATCCACCTCAAGGTGTATGGGGAGGCCATCACCCAGCTGTGGAATGACACAAACCATGAGCACGGTTGGCTACGTACGGTGCGAAAGAAGTTCAGCATGCACGCGTGCGTACAACCGATGGCCTGCAAAAAACATTTTAAAATAAACAAACTGAATACTTAACATTAACACGCATAATTATTTATTTACAGTAAGTATATTTAATAACGGTTTATCATTTTAACGTAAGATTTGTTGATGCGGTGTTTTTCTGCACAGAGATGTGAAATGCTGTGCTCTTTGCAGGGATGCCCAGGCCCTTCGGGGCAAGTGTTTTAATTACAGAATTAGCATTCGTAGGGTACGTTGAAGTACGGCAAATTATATCCGTGACTGGCAAAACGCAACGGCCTTTTGATTGCGAATGTTGGCCCTGGAGTTTTTAACATCCACTTTATCGCACAGCAGGCTCTGGGCGATGCCTTGCAGCATGACTGTACGGCTGCAAAAATGTAAACCCGTCATTTCCGTGCATAACTTCACGCCGGCGAGAACGCTGACCGCTACGTTTTCCACGCGCAATGTCATCACGACGTGCGGGTCCGTGCTGTTGACATGAGCCTCTGTGGCACATTGCCAGCAATGTCAATCACCTTTCACAATATTCACTCAACTGTGGGTGGTTCTTTACTGCAATATTCATGCGTACGTTCAAATTGTGGCCATCGGTCGCATAATGTGTCATTAACGCTTATCGTGCATCGCTTCCGCGGCTGGCTGCTACGGGGGCTGAGATGAGCCGTGTTGACACGGGCAAGCATTTTACATGCACTCACTGTATGTGCACACATGCATCACTTCTGTCAGTCTACTCCTGGATGAGGGCCTCCCCAATTTATGCAAGTCCTAGGGGGACGTTTGACCATACTTCACCGCGCTGGGCAGTGCGGGCTGGTGAGGGTGGGCGGGCCGGGCGGCAGGACCGGTTCATATATCACTCGCCACTGATGCTGGAGCATAGATGTACAGTACAACAATTGATTTTGCTACGCTGCCTTCTCATGCCCACAACGGAGCCCGACAGCAGCCTATAACACCCGTTTTATGCATGGTAATCGCCCAACCAAGCACTATCCAGGCGCAGCCCTAAGTATATTTCGAGATCTGACAAGGTCTCATGCATTCCAGATGATTTAGTCATAGGCTAAAACGCGTGTTGTATAATGCGCAGTAAACGTGCCACATTGGCATAATAAATGTTCAGATAACTTTATTTTGAATTGCGGTGCTCGTTTTGTCACATCCAATCAACAGAATCTATGTTGTTGTTGTGGCGGTCTGGCCTTGGACCTGTGCGGCATACGTTTGTATATTCACACCCTGCCTCGCCGTGGCTTTTTGCCATGCTCTGGCTTTAAGTGGTGCCTGTAAAACAAGGGAACCCCCCTCCTGTCCCTATTAAACCAGCCCTTGTTTATAACCACACACTGCGACCTCCTATATGTAGCTACCAGGTGGGCCAAGAGAGATCGGGTGGCCAGTAGGCGGCATTGCGTCAGGTAGATTGCTGGCCTATCTGTTTGGCATGTGATAATTTTCCCCTCCCCTTGCTGTTTGATGATAGCTTTGTAGCTCGTCTGATTTCTCCAGGAAAAATACAGACTGATTAATTGTCTCATCTTGACGTTGAGATTTAATGAAATGATTCACATTTTTTTGTGTCCGCTTTTTTTGGTGACTTTTGCATATGAATGTAAAATAATCGACTCTTACACAAATTATGAATTGCATGTATTATGGCTAGACTAAGTTGTAATTTGACTTGATGCATTGATACATGCCTGCTATCCAAATTCTCTTTAGTATTATCCAATAATATGCATATGTTCTCTGTGTGCACTCATGAAATATTTGACCAAACATTCCAAGAGTCGGCAGACTCGTGGAAAACCTTTTCTGGATAAACAAATATGACTTATCATTATTATTCATAATACTTTTACAACATGAATCATCCAATGTGGGGCTTTTACATAGAGCTGCGCATCAATTCAATGAGTGTAATTGGCCATTATTATTACTATGCTACCTTCCACGTGTTCCCCAACATGGTTGACTAAAATCAGCGGCTTGTGCTCAGGCTTGGTGTAACTTGACAGCTTGTGTATGGCGGGGGGAGGGGTTTTGGAAATTAGTTTTTTTTTGTTGGAAAGTAAAAACAAAATATATACAGTCCTGTTAAAAGTTATATTCTTTTATTGTTGCCGGGAGTGTTGTCGTGTATCCGTCTTGACATATCTTGTGATGGTTTAGCAGTAGCTGTGATTTTACAGCGTGCATATAATCACACTGTGTTTTATGACCAGTCCGATTCCATTTTGCTTTGCAGGCGTGCTGCTTGTGAATCAACTGCAGAGGCCACTCAATAATCCTTCTTACGTACTACAGGGTATTGACTTTATGTCCAGAGTTCGGTCTGCTGAAAAAGTATAATGCCTTCCTTTAGATGCTTTGTAACGCTTTAAGTGTTTAATTTCCATGCCGGTTTTGTTTTCTCAAAGCGCGTGCTGAGATAGCAACTAAAACAGGTCATTCAGCAATGTGCACGTTTTTTTCTTCAAGTTTTAAGTTTTCTCCGTAATCTGCAATGTGCAAACGGTGCCCTTACACTTCATGCTTGGATGGGAAATCTGTTTAACGATGGAGAAGCCTTCATTCAGCAGTAGAATGAGAATGGCCAATGATATCGATCATGATAATATTTCTTTGAGTTTTGAGTGTTCTACAAGAAGGTGAATGGTCCTTTGGGAATCGATGCACGTTTAGAATATTGATTGAAAGCATCGCACTCAAATAGGTACTCTAAGCAGTGCTCTCTCTCTGTTTATAAAGACAGTCCTTGGTCAATATCGCAAACAAAAACAGCCATTAGGAAGAATTAGATAGTTGTTTGCATTAAGAACGGCGGAAAATAAATGTACCTCCATAATGTGTTTTAGCACATGATTGATTTTTACTGTTGCAGATTGAAATGCAATTTGGATGATGGTTAATGACATTGCACAGTTGTTGCATTGCTGGAAACACATGTGTTTTTTTAGGCTGGAGAATATGCACTGACTATTGAGTGGCAGTGATGGCATTTGCAGAGCTTTCAAAGTATTTGCATGTAACAAATTGCTTCTAAGATTATATTCTACTTAAATGACCATTTATACTTCTGAAGCATGTTTTCATAGTCTCTCAATTCGTAAACTTTCCTGGTCCCTACATATATTGTTATGTTCCTGAACTAACTTACACAGTTCTAAAATACTATTTAGAAATATATTGAATGGACAAAATTATTTGCTCATTGAATATTGTTCACTGAGCTGTGTAATTGCGTGTAACAGCCATAAACCACATTTGCAGTGACATGTCAGCCCAACGCCAAGACCACATTGTAAATAGTATGTTGCATCTAAGCTTGGCACCATCGCTAAAGTGCTTAAATAAATAGGTAAATCAACTATGAAAGCTCACGCATATCAGGTGCTGAATAATATATTGATGGGGGGCGCTCCCCCTTTTCAGTGTTCTGACGTGGCACAGATATCTGATTGTGCAGTAATGTTTTGCCCCTCAAACACACCTGTCTGCTCAAAAGAAATCTATCGCCACATTGCAATTGCAGGTCGGAGTCATCATTATTACCCGCCGTGTGAGCCGGAATATTTCAAAAATTTCTTGACTCGTGAAATCTGGTTAACCAAGACTTTGTGGTGTTTATTCAGTGTCCAACCACGGTTGTGACGGCAATCTATTCCCTGTGGCTTGTGTATTGGATGTTGTGGTGTTGTAGGTGTTCCATTGCTTACATTTTAAATCCGATATTATAAATACCACGAGCTTTACTAAAAGACGAGTCCTTTCCGCAATGGATGACATTTTTCAAATTGAAATTAAAATACCATTGTGTCTCCTGCCAGTGCTCGTTTGAAAGAAATTCCCACTATCTCGAACACTGCAGGCGAGCACAAGAATAGTTGAAGACAGCTGTTACAACACAATTTAACATTTCAACCCGTTGTGTCGGTACACAATTGTATTGCAAATGGAAGTACATTTGTGTTCAATAAATCAAAAAGGATTTTAATGATGACGTCGCGTACGCATTACGACACTGCGATCGTTTTTCCATAATGCTTTGGGACCCATTGTGCTTGCCAATGTGGTTGTTGTGGCTGTGGGGATGCAGTGTTACTTTTCATATGAACGTTACATAGTAGGTAGAGATTTACTTTTTCAACAGCAGGATTAATGGGAAGTGAAGGCCACGCATCTGCCATAATGGCTGCTGTGTAGACAGATTGGGGCTGCTTTGTGTTTGGGGATGATGGCCTTAAGATGGTTTGAATCCAAACCGATACGGTCTGTAATATTTTGCCAGGCGGAGACAGCAGGGTGCAAGATTAAGGATTTTATTGCCTGTGCCGTAACACATGTGCTGAACGTGTTGGGCCAACGCGACTGAAAAAGCGCTTATATTTTTTTTCACCGATTTGTTTTTGAAGCATGAAACAGGGTCCACAGGTGACAGAACCTTAAAAAGTCATGAATTACCTTAGCAGCAAAGATTGCTACTCTGCACATAGCTTGACACTTGAGGTGCCTCAGTGCGTCACTGTTGATGTTTTTTCATATAGCGCGGGTGAAGGAGGTTACCTTTCCTGGTGGGTGAGGCTCATTTCTGAGAAAGGGAGTGCAGTCTAGGCCATATGCTTATCGCTTAAGTGTTACATAAAGATAATACAGCTTTCAATGGTGTAGTTATACTTGCACTTTTGGGTATTATTTCCATCCGTAATTATTTTTTCTAAAAAGTTATCGAGAGCATTTATAAAGTGATTACTCCACTGGATGTCATTTGGCAAAGTTTGACATATTCAAACGTAATTTGGTAGATGGCATGGTGCACTCTTCTCTCATGCTGTGCACATTGAAATGTTAAGTTACGGTGAGATATATAATGAATGATGCACAGCAGCCCAATGGCTTCCTCTTTCTTGGGCCAGAAAGTCTGAAGTAAAATTTCAATTGTTGGGGCTGCCAGACCATGCAAGTGCAGCAATCAAACGCCTTGTTGCCATATTCATATCTCTGAGCTAAAGTCACTGGACACTGACTTAAGCCCGATGAATGCAGCTCACTTTGGTTTTTCATTTATTTGGTTGACTGCGCCGTTCCTAAAAACCGTAGGGTTTGCTAAAGCTTCGCCGATCTTTTATTTTCCACAACCGTGAATATTGTTGCTGCTGAATCCGTGCTTTGGGCTGCGGGTGCTTTCCACGAAACATGTAAATGCAACTTCAGTCCCACGACAAAAGTCATGCGTCTTCCCATAAACGGAATAAATGGAGGTTGTTACTCGATGTCAGCTATTCTCCTGTGCCATTGTTAAATGCAAATGAGACGTTTAATGGTTGCGCCGTTCCTTGAGGGCTTTAAGGACGACGGCCGTTAAGTGGGCAGAGCCTCCTGTGAGACTGGGCTTCAGGGTCCCCACTCGCGGGCCTGTTGCTGCTGCTGGAGGTTTATTGTCCAAACGCCGGCGGTGGTGGTGGTGTTGGTGGCGGTGGGCCGAGTGCCCTGGCGGCCCCGCGCTGTGGGTGGCCGTGGCCCCCGCTTTTATCACGCTGCCACAGATGCACAATCGGCGGTAGCGCCGTGTCCTTGAAAACCCACCAGTGATTCCAATTTCTGTGCGCCCGTGCAGTCTGATATGCGTTGTCTTGTATTTTTTGGTTGTTTTTGTGTTGTAGATAACTACATTTAGTGGAATAGAAAATGAATGTGTCTTTTGTCTCAATGGTGCTGAACGTTTGGCGTTGGTGGTGTGTGTGTTCACGAGTGTCTTCATGTGATGTAAAGGGCAGTGGTGATTTAGTGTTGGCTTACTGATAAAGTTCGAGTGACCCGGGTTAGATTCCTCACTGTCACTGGTGTAATTGGTGTCGGAAGCTAGTTTGGGTCTCTTCTATAGTGACTTGGCCCATGATTGTGATGAGTAGTTTATGGGCAGCAACAACTTGTGTCATAAGCTTGATAATTATGAGAGCGTATAATTCCATAGGAGTAAAACGGTGGTGGACTGCTTTGGGCACTGCGCTCTAAAGCTGGCTGCCTGGGTCTGGTTCCTGACCTCGGCTAACATCAGTGGCAAGTCCACAGCTGAACTATTCCTGGGACCACCTTTCACCTACCCACAGTGACCAGCATGATGAAGTATTATTGAAAAACCCCAGTGACAAACATGGCATTGGAGAGGCTTTTATCCAGACCAGTGAATTGACAAAGAGCTCTAAGAAATACATATTTCACGATCTTAACAACACATTCTGACTGCCTATCTTTTAGAACTACCAATGATTACTAAACAGCTTCGGCAACCGTAGATTAGAAATGAAGTGGAGTGCAATTTGAAGGATACTGATCTCGTAGTGTAAAGGCTGTAGTCTAATTAAAATTTAGCAGCAGGTTATAATAGCTTTTGTGCAGTACCCTGTTATGCATGTTGCTAAAGTTTGCATGACCATGGTTGTGCATCATCTTAAATAGCTTTCACAAGTATAAAACTGTTAACCACTTATGTGACTTGGATGCCTGCATGCCAAGCAGCAAACTGCATTGAAATTATGATTTTACTTCATATATCATCTTCTCATGTGGAATAAGATGAACAGATGTTGCAGGCAAATCAATTTTTTTGCTGTAATTTTCTGGATGATAATGGAAGTTTTACAAAGAAATGGCCATTTAGGATCTGTTTTGTCAACCATAAGCTCATTAATGCAATGTTTAAAAATACATTTTGGGTTTTGTTACTCATCTTTGTTTTCTTTCACGCTTATTTGTATAAAAAAATATATTTGTTGAATTACGAATACTGCATGCCATTTCAGATGAACATCCCAGCATGAGACATGGCACCTTCTCAATCTGTCTACCCCCACATTGCTCACATCCCTTCCTTCCCATTGTTTATCTGATTATATGCCTGTGATTGGCACGCTAAATTCAGGAAGCATACTGAGCTCCATCAGTCGTAAACTCATGCGGCGTAGAAAAAGAGGCAAAAAAAAAGTTGGGCACAAATTGAGGGCACCATGGCAACAAGGCAGGGTGATCGTTTCTGTTTGCGAGCGGAAGGCGAGCTGTGCGGGCTGCTGTGGGCCGACTGAGCTCAAGCACGCGTGTAGGCGTGCGTGCGTGCGTGTCTGTGTGCGTAAGAGACTGGGAGCTGAGAGGCTGAGAGGCTTTGAGAGGGAGGGGTCGGATGAGCTGCTCCAGATGAACAATTAGGCGTAAGAGGCCAGGATTTCATGCGAGGGCGCGACGCTCCGCTCTCCACTCTCGCGGGGCGCGCTCGGACCGCTGCGTTCGCGCCCATGTGTTTGTGCGCGTGTGCGCACGCGTGCCCGCACATCCAGCGAGACGGGCGGGAGGGATCGCACGCACGCTACGACTCGGCTGTCAGTGATGGGCTCTGACGTACGGTCGGCACAGGTTGACGAAATGAACCCGGCATCTGAGCTGCCACGGACAGGCAGGGCAGCGTCCGCAATGAAATAATGGCGACTGGTTCAAGTGGTGCCCTTCAAACAGCCTGAACCATGGAGTTACTGATGGCGATTTTGAGAATCAGACCTTTGGTAAGGTACATTCGGGCTTGTAGTTTGCTCGCTGTTGCTTCAGCCCTCATTGTTGCCATTTTAACCGCATGCGTTTGCATCAATTTTTTGAGCATGTGTTTTCGTGTGTCCGGAATTGTGCTTTGTACCCGACTGTATGCCTAATGCCTTCATCCTTAACTCAAAGGGAGTTGATTTGTAAAGCATGGCGTGCTGTTAGTGATTTGGAGTCTTATGGGTCCCGTGCATTAAAAGTGGTGGTGGCGGCGGCAGTTGAGTATTGATGTTTATCGGGAGACTAGTTTGAGCTGCAATGGAATGGAACATTGTTGCTGTTAGCCACTTTTCTACTGCCGTTCCATCGTTGGATATTTCTTACCACTGCCGAATCTTTGACAGTGATGAGACAGCTCCCTGTGTTTTTTCACTTGTGCGCGGCACGTACAATGTTGTCTGTGTGTGTTTGTCTGCATAGAGGCAGACGAACGGCTGCTCGGCTTTCCCAGTGCGCTTAGCATTGATCTGTTCGGCGCGTGTGCTCGCTGATTGGCCTCAGACTCGTGCGATATTTATGTCACTGTCTTGGGAGGTTGGCCATGTATGGCCTACCAGGTAATGGCAGTAAAATTCAACTTAGCTTTGATAGCTATCACGTCTTAACGTGTTTATCCATAACCCCCACGCGAGCATGGAATTGGCCGTGTCTCATTGTAATTGGGGTATTTGCGCTCGTTTTCATTTGTGTAACATTGCAGTTAGCAGTTACAGTATGGGCCTTTTTAACCAGGGGTCTTAATAAAACCTGGCCAGTTGCAATGATTTGGGGCATGTCGATGTACTGCACATAGTGCTAGAACAGGGTTTATTTTCAACCGTAACCGTGGCTGCGACTGGATTTACGATATTTTTGTTTTTACTGTATACATGCACGCAATAATGTAAGTGTGGGTGCTATGCATTGTAATTCACCCGAAGCCAGGTGATGGACAGATATCACACCTTCCTGTTATTGATCCACATTTGGTTAAAGCCATCAGCACCTTTTTGTAACGCCACTGCAGTTTCCAATAGAGGAAAATGAAAGGTCATTCTCCAGGATATTTGTTTCTATATTCTCTCCATAGAGTTGATTCGCCAGATATTTAGTTCAGTAAAATATATGGTGCGGATTCTCATGGCACCATTCGTCACCGGCGGTAGCAGGCTTTTCCATTGGGCAAATTTAATCAGAGACACGCCCTCAAGAGACAAATTTAAAATGTCACCGACTTTGTTTCTGCTTTGATCAAATAAATAGGTAGATTGTAAAGCTTTATTAAAACACCCCTGCGTGCACGTCCTATACGTATATATATATTTTTTAAGCTAACACTTTACAACGATTGTCTTACTGAAATTGTTTACATTTTTAGGCACTCTATGGATTTCACCTTCATGTGCATTGATAAAAACTAAGTCGTGGGAGACGGCGTCGGCTCGCTGTGCTCGATTCTTTCTCAAGTCTGCTCTGGGCTTGAGGCACGGAGCGTGAGCTAGGAGTGCTGCACCGGTTAGACAAGAGACCCGGTGGTGCCACAATAAAGGGATGTAAAGGCACGAGACGAAAACAAGTGGGAAATACATGGCTCGTCGTTACGGCCTCCTGCCGTGTCGCGAAAGACGGACTCTTTGAGTCGCTGCGTGTGATTGCCTTCGCTTGCTTCGTAGGTGTCCGACAAATTGCGTTTAGACCTTGGCAAAATCCACTTCCATTATACATTGGCATGCAGGGAATGTAGCCACATAATTTGTTTTTTTTATATATCTATCACAGAATAAAACTAAATTGTCTTTATTCTGTCATATTATTATTAGTCCTGATGAAGTCCATAGCCCAAACCAATTGTTCCTACATTTTTCCTACTTCAGCGTTATATCAGTCCTCTTACCCAGTGGCGTTATGCCATATTTATCAAAAGGAAAGAAGTTGAATTCTAATTGGTTCCTTTTGGAGAAAAATGAGAGCTTGGCTGTGTTTCAGCCAGTAGAGTTTCTACGGCGTTGCAGTTTTATTATTTGTGACGCCGGTCCCCTCGTCTGGCGTGGCATTTCGTTCATGGTTCATTCGCTCGGCGTAATTGCCATTGAGGATTTGTAAGATTGATCCCCAGAAATGTCTTTTACATTTTTACCCTGCAGCATTATTCAGTTAGATTTTTCAATAAAGCTTGCTTTACATTTATCAACGTGTATAACACGTAACTGATATACGTCCATTTTTGTTTAATTTAAATGAATGCAAAGTTATTGTCAATTAGCTGTATGTATATGAACTTGAGAAATCATAATTGGAGTATTGGAAACAAATTAATCATGGCAGAATCAGTTCTATTTTATTTCACGGTTCGCCTCTCAAATATAAAAAATAGCGTATTTGATTTAAAAAAAATCTGCATGCTTTTGAAAAGGCAACGACGTTGCCTTGGAAAAGATAGCAGCACTTATTTGGAATTCTTAATGGACCTGTTGAGTGCTAGCAACTGTTGAAATTGGCTGTCTAAATGGCCTTGGGGCTCTGACGTCTTCCTTTTGTAGTTTTGGTTCGGATTCTGGAATGATAGCATTTGATAAAGTGGGTAAAAAAATTATACGCATTTTTATATGTGACATTGACAAGATAAAAAAAACACAACACACAGAAGCCAAGGTCTTTTCGTAGAATTGCAACTTTGCCTCTGAATTGTCTCTAAATAAAATGTGAATTCCATTGTATTTTGTTACTCCATTTGTAAAGGTTATTATGTTTATATGGAACTTATATTTATACGTCTCAATAGGTTATAGTAATTTGGTCAATAAAGTCTCGTCGTGCTCAAACAACCATTGGGGCAGCGGCCATCTCTTTTGCTCGCTCCTGAGACAGTGGTGGAAATGTCACGGTGGGCACCGGTCTTAACCATAACGTGGTCACCCTTGATTTCACACGAAGTGATAATCGTTTTTATTGATCGGTTCGGAATGAGGATTGAACTCCCAAGCTTCCAACAGAAACTTGAGCATTGCCAACAACGCCACTTGGCCAGTTTGTTTATGCGGCCCTTTGCCAATCCACTGCTGGATAAAGACCTCCCAACTGCTGTCATCCATGGGGGGGTTGTTCGACCGGGTTTGTTAAAGGGGGACCCAGAATCCAGTTAACATATTTCCCACCACTGATGTTACCTGTGGTCAGGAGTAAAACTCAAATTTACAGGTTCATTAGGAGGATTGCACTAAACACTGGTTGGCCATTCTAATGGTTCACAAATGAGCGAGCAAATAAAAAGCGAGTCCGGAGAAAGGAGGTGTCCCCTTTCCTGCCGAGCGTAAAGCCTGCCACTGCTGCACTCCGCCCAGCTTCGCGTGGCTTCCAGGGAGATCACGCGCTGATTGATGATTTTGTAGTAACGCGTTCCGTGCTTGGCTTGCAGGAGGTTGCTTACAGGGGTCAGGTGCAGGGCAGCGTGGCCAATGGGCGGTAGGCAGCCACCGTCTCAGTTGGGACGCGTCACCACGCTCTCGGTAGTGGTAATTAGCTGTCTAATCTGGACATTGTTTAAGTAGAACCGTTGTGAACTAGTGTTCATTAAAACGTTATTGCATGAATAATACTGAGTGGTTGATGTTTGTTATGCGATGTAGGGCTCCTACATTTTTGTAGGCAATATATTTTGTAATGCTGCAATTACTTTTTTATGGCGAATGTGTCGGCATAGGTAATTCCCCCACACTAAAAGCTGACAAAATGCATTGATTCATGCAGTCAAAAGATTGTGTGGCGGGAGGGGATTTCAGAAAACGGCATGTGCGCAGTCTCTTTCCTGAGCTGCTGCATGGCACATAACCAGGTCGGCTCACCATTCGTTCACACTCCATTGCATCCTGCATCAATAGGTTGCATGGGATTCACTTGGGCCCAATATTATCCCAGCTTAAGTCTTTCTGCCCTCCCTCAGTGCACGACTTCTCATTTGGTAGAGAGAAAAAAAAGCACCAGTCTCGTCAGCTTGGGCCATGCAAATCTCTCACTTACCTGCCTGTTCGCAATGGTTGTAAAGCTAATAAAACATGGATAAGATAAGGTGCAGTTATCCTTTTCAACTTTCACTGCTTCTTGTAGGTAACATGTTCCTTTTAATTATTTTATCACGCAAAATCATTATTGTTTATTATGAATAACATCATTGCTGTTTGCTATGGCATGGTACGTGTTGCTCTGTTTGATGTTTGTACAGATATTTGATTTCCTGCAATATACTATAACCTTATTGAGTTTATCCTCAATTATTGGGAACATATTAAGTCATCAAGTCTCTGCAGGTATTAAACCTGTTCAATAATGAAACATGAACATGCTGCATTTCAATGTTGTCAAATTGCAGCTGGTTGTGCCCCGTGATTAGACTATATATACACCACTATTATATTTTCATTCAATTCTGGTTGGATAGTGGTTTGGCAGGCACAGACCACGTGCAGCTAACTATCCCGTTCTATTTGTGGCCGTGTTTGTTTAGTTATTTACATTTGAATTTTTATATTTAATAAACGTATATTCAATATACCGTCAATTATTATCGACAACATAAAATGTCTTGTTTCATACGTTGTCGGTAATTGAGGACACGTTAACTAAGTTAAATATACTTCCGCAAATAAAACATATATACGAATCAAACTTAGCAACACATATCATGCAATAGATTGGCATATGACACATTTAGCCTCGTGTTTACATTACCAGTATTCTGGGGAAACAAGTTGTAAGTTTTGGCATGTCAGTTTTAAAACTACATGCCTTACTGGGTGAGTAAAATATATATACAGCATTGTGCATTTTGAACAGTGAGTCTGGTGATGTAATACTATTGAATTTACATCTGTTTCACATCGGCTTGTTTTATTGTCAAGGATATTTAAGCTCGGTCTGCTGGAGTATTTCATACATTTTATCCACCCGAATGAAAACACAGTTTACCGTTCTTCACAAAATAATCCAAAGA